ACTTTGGACGTTATCTAGGACCTTGGCTTGGGCATCAAAACCTAAACCCTAAGCCTCAAACGGTTTCCACACGCTAAAATTAGCCAGCATTATCAGCCAGGCGTCTGGAATTTTGAAAAAAATCGGGGATTCTGGTAGAGATATATTTTCTGTCGAGTACAATAATACAATCCCAAGGGTTCTCTATTTTCTTTTTACAGAGAAGACGCAGATAGATTAGTGGTCATATTTGAAGAAAGAAAAAAAATATGCACAGAGATAACTATCATTCGAAGCAAAAGAAACCTACCTCGCTTATGCGATTCGTGCATTCATGGTAGCCAGTAGGGTTTCTGATATTCGCTCATTCGATTCGAAAAATTAGAGAACTGACTGAGTCACTCGGTCGTTTAACCCTTTTTTCGCTTTCCCTCTTTAGAACCACAACAAAAGAAAATGCAGATTACAGACTTATTAGTGAGGGTTTTGAAATGGCGGCTTTTACATATTTCTTTCTAAAAGTAATTATCTAAGGTTTCAATTTTTTTTAATTTCGACAAACGGGGACGTGACTGTAAAAAGATTTACGCCACGTCACCCGTTCATCTCCGGGGTTGGGAACTTGGAGCTGCAAAATTTTCTGAAAATTCCCATAGAAGGAGACTTCTTTTTCTACACAGAAAAATATAAATTTGTAGAGAATAATATAATTTGAAGAGAATTTCTTATGGATAATCAATAAATTTGTACTCTAATTTCACTATATCTAAAACTAATTAGAGTAGGAGCAAACTCCTTCCACCCTGTGTGTTCTCTTTGCACTCAAATTTTTATGAGTAATCTAGAATATCATTTTATTAAAAAAATTATTTTAAAAAATCACTTTATTATTGTAGCCTAAATTCCAAATATTTAAATTAAGCAATTTAGCATCTATATATATAAAGCAAAAAGCAGAGAATGGTGAAACATTCAAAATACCAAAAAATGCCATTGGTTAATGCAAACATTAAGAATTGAAATTATTAATTAAATGAGGATAATATGGTAAATTCACACATTTTCATATTTAAAAAAAATTAAAATTAAAAGAAAAATCAGATAATGGATCATATTTTTATGGAATACAACTACCCATTATCTTTTTTAATTCTAAAATATATATATATTTTTTTTTTTTAAATGCCTCTCGCAAGTGCGGAAGCGCGTGCGGAGAGGCTAGTAGTAGATTAAAGGAAAAAATAGCAGTTCCCTATCATAATAATGCGATAAATTGCCGGTGAAGGAATATGATATTTAATTTCAAAACAAGGAAGTGCACCTGCCAAACAGGGTGGAAGGAGTTTGCTCCTTCTCTCGAGCCAAAAAATAAAAAACAAACAAAAGAGTTTGTTTCTTTTCATAAAAAACAAGTGTGGGTGCCAATGAGGTATAACCCAATGAAAAATGACCTTAACTACCAATAGTCTCAAATTCGAAGTCCCATAATCAGTGGAGGATTCAAGATTGTGACCTCAAGTCAAGGGGTCATCATGTAAAATTCTATTTTTAAAAAAAAGATAAATATGACACTAAAAAATAGAAAGATTTTTTTTGGTCGAAAGTTTGGTTTCAAAGAAACCAAACAGGATGATATTGCAAACAGTGCCAGAAATACACGAACGAGGGAGAAGTAGCTAGACCTCAGGACAAGGCTAGGACCAAGCTTCTCACCCAGTCAAATTAAAAAGGAAACATTACAAAAAGCAAGGAAACCAAAGAAAACCCGTAAAACAAGGAAATGAGAACTGCCGCACCACCGATAACCAATTAGCAAAGCGCCCAACGCAAGACCACAACCACCAGAGAAGTCACAGTAACCAGAGAGCCGAGAGGAAAATGGTGATGGATACGCCATCACAGCTACAAAGAGCGCTACCATAGTCCGAGGGGTGAGTGCCATAGGCACTTTAAAAGCATCCTCAACAACATTAGTATCACTGGGTAGAGACACTATGGCCGTCGAGGAGCATAACACGGTGGATAAGATCATACGTCGACACAAAGCTGCAAGGAATCGACGGAGAAAAAGCATATTAAGAGGTAAAGAAGATGGCACACAAATAACACAGCCGACACCACTCCTGAGAAGACAGAGGCAGAGGGTAGAGGAGCTTATGGAGCAAGAAAGCACCATAATATGAGGAATTGTCATGAAAATGCCCCGACCATGACAATTCCATAATAGTCGTATCATGGATCCCTTGTGGCTGGCGAAGGCCAGCCACCACCGCCGTCAACCTTACCGGTCTTAGCCCTCAGTTCAAAGATTTCCAAATCTTTGGATGGGCTAATCACCACCTCACACAGCTTTGCTTCATCAAGAGCATTGTGAGTAGTACACTCTTTAGATGGATTCACCGCCACCTCACTCCGTATTGAACCATTGATTGTAGATTGAGTAACACCAATGGAGCCTTGTGCTCGTCTACGCCCCCCTTTAGCACACGCTTTAGCCCCCAAGGTTCCTCTAGTGAGTCTTAGAGAGCAACCTGAACTAAGCGACGGAAGGAATTTTTTCCTTTTTGAAGGGGGGTTACCACCTCCAAGAAAGAAATTCTTCTTGCCACGCTTCTTTTGTGTATGTTGTATTGTGTCACTTGTGGGATCAGGTTCAGTAATCAAGGATGCCAGCTTGCGGTGCGCGACAAATTCCCCAGCAGCCCCATGAATATTCTAGGACCAAGCTTCTCACCCAGTCAAATTAAAAAGGAAACATTACAAAAAGCAAGGAAACCAAAGAAAACCCGTAAAACAAGGAAATGAGAACTGCCGCACCACCGATAACCAATTAGCAAAGCGCCCAACGCAAGACCACAACCACCAGAGAAGTCACAGTAACCAGAGAGCCGAGAGGAAAATGGTGATGGATACGCCATCACAGCTACAAAGAGCGCTACCATAGTCCGAGGGGTGAGTGCCATAGGCACTTTAAAAGCATCCTCAACAACATTAGTATCACTGGGTAGAGACACTATGGCCGTCGAGGAGCATAACACGGTGGATAAGATCATACGTCGACACAAAGCTGCAAGGAATCGACGGAGAAAAAGCATATTAAGAGGTAAAGAAGATGGCACACAAATAACACAGCCGACACCACTCCTGAGAAGACAGAGGCAGAGGGTAGAGGAGCTTATGGAGCAAGAAAGCACCATAATATGAGGAATTGTCATGAAAATGCCCCGACCATGACAATTCCATAATAGTCGTATCATGGATCCCTTGTGGCTGGCGAAGGCCAGCCACCACCGCCGTCAACCTTACCGGTCTTAGCCCTCAGTTCAAAGATTTCCAAATCTTTGGATGGGCTAATCACCACCTCACACAGCTTTGCTTCATCAAGAGCATTGTGAGTAGTACACTCTTTAGATGGATTCACCGCCACCTCACTCCGTATTGAACCATTGATTGTAGATTGAGTAACACCAATGGAGCCTTGTGCTCGTCTACGCCCCCCTTTAGCACACGCTTTAGCCCCCAAGGTTCCTCTAGTGAGTCTTAGAGAGCAACCTGAACTAAGCGACGGAAGGAATTTTTTCCTTTTTGAAGGGGGGTTACCACCTCCAAGAAAGAAATTCTTCTTGCCACGCTTCTTTTGTGTATGTTGTATTGTGTCACTTGTGGGATCAGGTTCAGTAATCAAGGATGCCAGCTTGCGGTGCGCGACAAATTCCCCAGCAGCCCCATGAATATTCTCAGACTCAACAACATGGGTAAGGTCTTTACTGACACAAGCCAAAGGAGGTGTGGGGGCCAAAAAAGAATTAATATTGAGATAGTTCATAACCATAACAAAAACAACAATATAAATCGACCAGAACAACCTTTAACTAAAAGTTCCCATACCAAACTGTGTACATACTAGAACAGCTCACATAGATATTTCAGGGGACAAAAGCATGTACATACATTAATTCAAAATTTTGATACTCTAATAAGTATATGATGATTTTAATTCATTTATTACCTAAAAAGAACTTGAATTAATGAAAAAATAAAATAAAAAGAAACACAACTCTGCCCAGGCAGTTTAAAATATATATATTACAAGAAGCTGCGAGAGGGTTCTCTTCCTCCTCAGGCCTTTCATCTAGCAGATGGTGGGCAGAGGTCGCACCTCCAAGTCTATTTCCATGATTGCCAAGGGGTCATTGGACCCATTGATTCCTCACGTGGCTCCGCTACTGCCTATGGCACATTGGTAGTGTGTGTGTGGGAAATCATCATTCCCTTTGTAATTTAAACCATCACTTGTATTAAAAAATTTATAATAAAAAAAGTGTGAGAGCTGCCCCGTTGGTTCATGCTACAATTTGTTTTCTTTTCGATAAATACTTATCACCAAACCGGTATTATTAATTGTTTCATTATTTGCCCGCGTCTCCCATTTTCACAAATGGTGGGAATTAAACCGGCAAATCGTCAAAATTGGTGGATTCAAACAGTTATGCGCAGCTTGGTTCGATTTTCGCCAATCATAAAGTTAGATGTATAAACCGCTATAAACTGAACCGAATTAAACTATCTATTTATTATTTTGTTTTTTAATTTGTATTTCTTTGCAATTTTCAGATCGCAATAACTAAAATTACATGGTCTCAAATTTTATACGTACCTACATGCAAATGTTGGATTGCAACTAATAACTGATATCATTAAATTGTTAGTTTGTTATTTTGATTGAATGATGAATTTTAGTATGTTAGAGATTTAGAAAGTAGAAAAAGAATGTGATTTTACATTGTAAAATGGAAAATAAGTTAGCTGGCTCTAGAGTTGGGCTAACTACATAGAATAAGAAAAAAATGAACAGGATTGTTGAGGTTAGATCCAAACTGCTAAACTAAACCACACAACATTGGTTTGTTTGATTCGTTTTCATCCGTAATTTTAGTAAAAATACCAAACCAAACTAACCAGTGGCAGTTATATAGTAATTGGTTAGGTCATACTAAAGAAAGAGGAAATTGAAAACTACATTGTAGCCTACTTCACTCCTTCATATGCACATTTCTTTTTCTTTATGGTCACTCAATCATGTCATCTTACCTACATCAAAACGATGGGCACTCTCTTGGATGCCGCATATCTCGACTTTTTTTTGTCTCAAAATATATGAAAGCATATTTGAACCCACTACCAACCTCATATTTAATTATAACATTAGTAACCGAAAGTATCAATTAAGGGGAAAATTATGAGCCAACCAAACTTATGTAACTTGTCACAGGCCAAAGGCCACTCTCTGCACAGAGTCACGACGTTTTTTGCTGGGCATCCGAATGAGGCCTGTAATTTGTAGTTCGGTAATTGCCCTGCAAAATCGGGCTCTGTGAAAAGCAAAGTTAAGGATCCAACAAAAAAAAGAAAAAAGAAAAGCAAAGTGATCTTGATGCACATCCGACTTTTTAATTTTGGGCAGTAATTCAATGGGGGAAAAACAACAAGGAAAACACAATGCTTGATGCAGGCAGATGTAATGCATGATATGCACCTATAACACAGCAAAACCATGGTGACTTCATTAATTCTGACTCGAAACTTGGTTTGTAACTAGTAATTTGATCTTTGCATACAACTTGGGAAGATGGTCAACTCACAGAAAACGAAGATGTGCACTGTGCAGTATGAAAAAACAAAAGGATACTGAATAGATGCTTCGCTTTTGTTTTCAGATTCATTCACTTCCTTTCGTCTTCTCGGTAGTGGGGACTGCTTCAACATGCACTCCCCTTTCCTCCTGGGCTGACTGGCAATTGTTTTGAAAGACTGGAACCAGTCGTGAAGATTGATAAGATCGCCATGCTCTTGAGCCAAGGTATACCTACAAGATAAAATTAACGTGTAATAACCTCAACCTTAAAGTAGCGGTCACTGCAGACTTTGAACTATGATCAGAAGTAGGCAGCTAAAATGAAGCAAATTACTCATGTCCAGTGTTTTAAGTCACATTGGTATATCACATTGGAATTATGATCAATTACCAGCTACCGATCTTATGATTTAACCTATCCTGTATTGTACGCCCTCACTGGTAATGGATAACCAAAATTTTATCTATTATCTAATATTTGGTCTCTTGATCATCCACAAAGGCAATTCGAAAAAAATATTACCCAGAGATAATAAGTTATTCTTTGTTAGAAAAGAAACTTTCGGAAGAAAATATATTTTAACGTCCAAACAGGAATGGGAAAAAAAATGCAAGATCTACCAAAAACACAATGATATGAAACCCATAGACAATTTGATTTTGCGTCTGATAATGAAGGCAAAATCCCTCCAAGTCTAGACCACTAAGTAGTTGGATAGAAACCCAACGCATCTGAAAATTACCATCAGTTTTAAGAAAGTACAGTGCAAACTTGAATTGGGACTTCTATTAGCCTCCATCAGCGTTTCTCATAATTTTTCAAACAATTTCAATATTATAGCTACTGTTATACTCACACAATTGAGGTATCGGGCATGGATGACAATGGAATGTTGCCACTCCTGCTGCAGCAACTGCATCGTAGGATTTTATGGAACTCCAAAAGATCCACTTGAATCCTCTTTCTTGAATCTCCAATCAAAGCCTGAAATAAGTGTGAAGTTAAGAAGTGAAATGAGATTTATTGAGTTTCAGGATTCAGTTATAAAACTTTCATAAGTGGCGGGCATGCTAATCAACTAATCTGATAAAAATAGCCTGTCAAAACATTAAATATCAAACATCCAAGATTTTCCGTGATTAATTATAGGTAGTAATAAAATCCTATACAGATTTCATGATAAGTTGCTGGTATATGTAAATTAGTCAGAGCAGCCATTGCAATGCTTACCGATTGAAGTTTTTCAACATTTCTAAAGCAAACAATTTCATGACATTGTATGCACTCAATCGGCCGCATGAAATACCTGTCATGAAGAAATAAAAATATAATATAAAAAGGGAAAGATATTAACCCAGGATGCTTTTCAGTAACCGTATTAAGCTGTAAAATCATACGAGATAATAGGTATTAAGAAACTCCATTTCATTTGCGTGAAGGTGATCTTACACAAAAGGAGTCATGTGTGTTTGCCAAAACCTTATCACTGCGAACAGAGAAGTCAAAAGACTCAATACTTCAAGGATGTATGGGAAGTTGTTCATTCTAAATCTTTCAAGAGGAAAAGAAAAATTCACAAAATGCTTCGCTGTAAAAAGAAGCATTTCATTACTAATTATGTTGTTACTGATTAATATGTAGACTTAAAGACCCACTTTTAGAATTATTAAATTAAATAAGGAAAATAACCTTGCCTGCTGACTCCATCCTAAAAGAATAGAACCATCATTTCCATTTTCTTTTTAAGTTGTGTGAGTTATCTCCAAATTTCAGATCTAGAAAAATTATATGCTTGAGCTAAATTTGGGAAAAAGGGGAAGAAATTTTCAGATCTTCAACACCTCTGCAATTTTTTTTAATCTTTTAAACAAAACAAACTGCTGTGGTTGAAAAACAATTGTTAAAACCAAAGCATTTTGGTTCCATACAACAATTAGCTCAGAACTTGTGAAATAATCTTCTGAAACTTTTGTCTAGCCTCAACTTCCAAGTCACTTCATATGAACGCATAGTATAAGCAAAGCCAATTGGCAATATAACTTCAAAATATTTGCCCATGATAGCTTAAGATTGAGACAAGTTATGCAGAAGAGTTTGTCCATCGAGTCAAGAGTAGAGACTTTTGTTCCAATGCTGATCAGAACTTAAGCACTAAGTTTTGAAAGAAGGCAATGGCAAAATTATAGTAGTTACCTAACCATGCAATCAACTAGTATAGCAGCTTTTCCATTTATTGATTGTGACTTGCCAATTTTTAAGGGACTGTGAGATGTATGTCTCCTGCACATGAACAGTGTCAAAACCAAGCCACTAGAAACTGAGATCCGCCAAGTTTAAAATATAAAATATAATATGGGTGGGTCAAAGCTATTGAGAGAGAGAGAGAAAGATATTACCTGGATATGCCGGTAAAATCCGGTTTACAACTTCCTCCCTCAAATTTCAACAAGGCCTGCAACTCCTTTACCTTGTCGTGAATCTATTCCAAGCACATAACTGATGATCACTCAACTGATATTATATGGACTTAGTAATCAACTACTATCACTGCTTAAAACATGTCAAAGTAATAGCTAGATGATAAGGTAACAAAATTACAACAAAGCTTAGCATCTATAAGGCACACAGGGTACATCATATATAGACCATTGAATACTTTAAAAGGGTTTAGGCACAAATGTTCAGGCACAAAATATATATTGCATTAAGGAAAAGACAAATGATGAGATGTACATCAGAATTCCAAATTATCTTCTGTGCATATTCAATTGTTTGATTGGTGTTCACTGATAAAAGAAAGAATATTTTCCTTAAGGAGTCCTGTTGATAATTCAGGTTTAGTTACAAAATTTCAATTCCTTCTGTTCTCCTAAAGGCACAGCATCAACATAGCTCTTGTCAAGCTACAGTACTCATCAAACCACACATGCAACCCAAAGATATCTAACCATCACTTCGGCCATGGAAACAACAAAAACAAGGACCAGGTCCTACAAATTTGGGCCACCAATTGACTAGAGATCATCCACAAGCTCACTAGTCATTACAGAAATCTATCAAAAGCTCATAAGAAAATAAAGAAACTCATATCTTTAATTTTGTAAAAAAACTGTATTTGCATAACACTAAAATGTGTGACAACAAAAAGACCCTATTGCAAATTTTAGATTGAAAAGGCTTACCCATATGCTAAAGCAAAATCTAGTAAAGAAAAGTATTCGTGCCCACTCAACTAACAGGGATAATCTCCAATTACAGAAAGGAAAAAGTAAAGTATTCAAAAGGATATTATATAAATAACAGCAAAACACAACAAAATTTGTATTAACATTTCAGCAAACCCTGAGGCTAAAATGCGGTCATACCTCAGGAACATCCACAGTGAGAACTTCCCAACTTTTGAGCAACTGACAGAGCAATGCTGCAGGAAGATCCCTGGTCAATTTCAAAGTTTAGACAGTTCGGAAAACAGTATAATGAGCAGAACTTCTTATTTTAGTATTTCTATGAACATAAATGGAAAAAATAAATTTTAAATGATATCTAGAAAAACATGGAACATCAAAAGTGATGCTCATCTAAATAGACTCTAAGTAGCAAGCTGCTTCGATAAGAATAAATAGAAAATTTTATTAAAATCAGAACTACACTTCTCATCAGATTTCAGGCAAAGAAAACATAAGAACTAAACCAAGTGTGCAAAACTATAGTTGAGAGGAAATAAGTCTCAGCAGGTTTGGATGGTAGAACGAGGAGAGGGGGAGAGGAGAGGCAGGGCGAGGAGAACGAACCCAGACCAGAGTCTGTATCATGGTGAAGGTAAGGTAATGCTGTATCATTGTATTTTATTCTTGTTTCCCCACTAAACCCTAAACCCTGACATGAGTTTCTTTATTTTCTGACAAGCCAATAACTTGAACGCGTTCGAGACTGGGACTGAGAGAGGTGTTTAATTGTTCTATCAGAAATTTCTATTTTAGTTGGTCGCTGCCTCATCCTTCTTTCATTAGTTGACGCCCTCACAAACCAGAGTTCTATAAGGAGATGGCTTTGATTGGTTCCACAAACTCTATCCCTAAGACTACCTTAAAACATCAGACCACTTCAATCCATCTGCATTCTTTGAAACTCATTACTTACCTAACTTTGCGTACTACCTGACAAATAGTTTGTCCCTTCTGGAAGCTCAAATCTTGTTCAAGCATACAGTGATCACTTGACAAAGATGTAGCCAAACTTTCTCCAATTCCAGTGGGATTATCAGAAGCCAATGAGGTGTAAATATCTGGATCAAGTGCCTCGCAAAATAAGTCTAACAATTGAATTTTGCCACACTTCCCAGCTTCATATAAGCACTGCAAAACACTTGTGTGTCAAGATGTGGAAAGGCCAATTTGATGATATGAAACAAGAAAGGTACAAGGCCTTAAAAACATAAAAAGAAGATGAAAAAAGTTAAATTGTGTTCTTTCACTAATAATTAACATCTGTATAAGAAAATGAAAGGAGTCACCAGAACAATAGAGCTCCAGACCATCTGCAATCTCTTCAACACTGTCAAACAATGAGCTATAGGGATATCAGTTTGTTCAGCCATTTGATCCCTGATGACAGATTTTCCAAAAGATGTCATCATATTATATTTTTTATTATAAAAATTTAAACTCATCCTTTAAACAAAATGAGTAAATATCATTGACCTTTACGATTACCTTGCATGAAGTAAAATTTCGGAAGCCCCCTTAACCACTTTCTCACTCTGGAATCCCTACAATGGTCAAATTACATCTTAGTAAATTATGACAAACATTGCTAGGGATTGGGTGGGGGCAGGTAGGAGAAGGCTTATCAAGGATGCATATATTAGCAAAAAATTTAAAAAAAGCAAACAGGGAGTTATAATTGACAAAGTTATTATTGTTGCTTTATATCTGATTGCATGTATATACATCAAGGCATAAACCAAATGTTCTGCGTCAAAATAATTTTCGTGGCAAATCCAAAAAGGGGACCGCGGGGGTTGGGGGAGGATCAGTTGCCAACTAACGACTTTGTCACAGTTCAGTAGAGGACAAAAAGGAAAATCGTTTTCTTTTTTATTAAATAAAAAATCTGAACAAAAGATAGCAGAAGATGAATGTGAATATAAATGTGGGCATGAGTTATGCACCTTGACTTGAATGCAATCTACCTATGGCATTGTAAACATGATAGCCACAAAGAGGACAGATATAGTTCATGGATGCTACCTTGCTGTCTTCTTTAGCAAGCAACTGTCCAAGCATGAAGCTTAAAGGCTCCGTGGAGAAATGTTGGACACATGCTATCTGAAAAACACTTTGTGACATCAGCAGGGACCTAGTCATGCTGGCAGGAAAACATGAGAGAAAATGCAACATAGTGTAGAGAACATTGACAATGTGTTCATAAAATCTGAAAACAACTTAATTACCAACCTTCAAAGCTCTAAAAAAAGATGTCAATGTACCATCCTGATTTAAGAAGTAGTTTCGCAGAAAAATAGCCACCTTTTGACCAACAGCGAAACCAGAACACTGCCTCACAAGAGCAGCCTCAACAACTGCATCCATCCTCTCAGCCGGTGATCCCAATGTGAACTTGCAAGGGCGCAACTTCTTCAGCACATTTGAAGGAAGTATGTTACTTGGGGCATCCAATGTTGTTGCAACTCCCATGATTAAAATGACCGGGATCTTGACAATCCATTCACTGATAGAAACAAGGGAGCAAGTTACAAGCGCAGGTAAGCAAAATCTTGTACTGAGAGAGAGAGAGAGAGAGAGAGAGAGTGAGAAAAAAGATCTGGAAACTTGTTGTATAAGCCACATATGAGGGTTGGGGTTAGAATACCTCAACATAAGAATGAAATCAGACAAGACAGGACCACAACATCGTTCCATATCGTTTATAATGACAACCACTGGAGAACCATAGTTTCCCTGCTGGCTGTACCATGATGCCAATATGGACATATCAGCTGCCTGCATAAAAAGGCAAAGCAGAATTAGAAGCAATAATGGAATTCGAAGAAATTGAATAAGAATACGATTCTTCTGAAATTTGAACTGAAGGAACAAGAAAATGTAAATACATCAAAAGTCCGCATCAAAAACTGTCTCAATAAACTTGTGAGACAACCAGCAATGCCATTCTTGGGTGAAAAGTCGAAGGAGGAAAGGTTAGCCACATGGCATCCATGAGATTTCAAGAAGAGGCCAAGCTCTTGAAATGTCAAGAAATCATCAACAAACTCCATATTCTCTGCCAGTAACGATTCAATCAAGTTAGATCATTGATGACAACTAACATTATCAACTCACTCAACTCAATTTGAACAATAGATGTTGGAGACCATACTGGTGAGAAGGAGCGCAGTGAAGAGCTGGTGGGTGACAATGGGAGAAGGTGGCGGAAATGGTTTGATAGTATTCGTATTGAAGGAGTCCCGTACCCAGCTGTGTATGTCATTGAATACACGAGCATTCATATTCCTCAGAACGTCCTTGATAGTGGAGTCAATTCCAGACCAAACCAACTGAAAAGCTTCCATTCGCAAGCAGCGCTCATCCCATTCCTTCTTCTCAGGCTTAAGCTTTGTTGGGCTTAGATCAAGCCTCTTTCGGGCTTTCCCACTACAAGTTAACTTTTCAGATGCTTTGTGAAGAACAAAAAAATGCTGTTTATAAATCAAATTACAAATTAGAGAGGAAGCCCCAACCACAGAGCAATATTAAACAAAAATTACAAGATATAGAAATCGAAGCACAAGAACGGAGAAAAGGAACGCAAGGGACCTGGAGGTTGTTTTGGGTGGTATCGGGGCTTGAGGGAGGTGGTGAATCACCCGCACTTGCATATGAATGCGCCATTAATGCTCTTTTCTCTTCTACACTCTACAGAATTAGCCAATTTTAGGGTTTCCTTCCTCCCCCGCCCAACTGGCGGTATTTCTACACTCTACTTTTTTTTAATGCTGGGATGTCCGACTGTGTCTTTCTTTTGGCGGGAAAATAAAAGATAAATCACAATCTCGCGATAAATTCATTTTCTATCTATTGAAGTGATAAGCCGATAAATTATTGTCTATATACTGAAAGGGGAATGCTAGCAACCTTCTCTCTAACCTTCTCCCTAATGACGAGTTAGTCTTCTTTGTTTTTTTGAGTTGGGGATTATGGAACTCTCGTAATGATTTTTTACATTCTGGCCGAAGTACTTCACATCTTTGTCTTTTGGCTCGCACTCGAAAGCTTGTTTTGGAGTATCAACGGGCTATTATTTTATTACCATCTCGTGTTCCAGCAAATAATCATACGCGGCATTGGTCTCCACCTACTGGTAATTTTGTGAAGATAAATGTTGATGGTGCTGTCAATTTGCTGTTTGGATTTAGGGGTTTGGGAGTTGTGATACGGGATAATATGGGTGATTTAATGATCCAACTCTCTAATAGAGCGTGGGACCCATTGCATTGGTGGGCTCCACCTCTATTAGAGAGTTGGTATCCCAAGTTGGTCTCCCAAGTTGGTATCCCTAGCATGACCCTTTGAAAAATCATTTGTACCACACCTTAGCTGTCTCCTTTTAAGTTGATGAATTTGGCAAAATCAGGTGGATCATGTCAGCACCATGAAAGTAACATGATGTCATTTCTCTACAATTATTGGCTATCTACCATGGCATCACACCACTGTTCCATAAACTCATTTTGTTCAAAATCTCTCATGTTCTCTCATCCTTCATTTATCACATATTTCAGGGGGAATGCTAGCAACCTTCTCTCTAACCTTCTCCTTTGGACCTTCTCCATTTTTTGCTTGACATGTGTCATTCTCCTTACACTTAAAACAATGTAATTAAGATATTATACAAGCTAACTTTTGCTTTCCAAGTTTACCCTTATTAAATGTATTCAATTTATCCAAAAAAATTTCACAACTTTCTTATCATCTTATTAATTTTTTTTTAACTTCAATTATTTTTTTTATAAAGAAAATGTATGCTTTTTAAAAAAAGAGGATGTCCCTTTTTTTTAATGTCAAATTTAGACCTTTTTTTTCTATCTAAACCCCTTGTGTTAAAAAAAATGGACATTTCCTCTTCTTTTTCTTTTTTTTTAATTTAACTTTTTTTTTAAAGTAGACATTTTCTTTAAATAAAAAATAATTGACGTAAAAAAAATTAATGAGGTGTAAGAAAGTTGTGAATTTTTTTTGGATAAATTGAATACATTTAATAAGGGTAAATTTGGAAATCAAAAGTTAGCTTGTATAATATATTAATGACATTGTTTTTTTTTTTATGAAGAAATGGGGGGAAACCCCAAGCACCAACACAGCAACTAACTATAACTAATCAAGCGGGACTTAACAGTTCCCAAAGAATCATTAAGCAATAAAAAATCAAGCCAAGCAGGGCTCTCCTCAAGATAGTAACAGCCTAGATCCAAATTGTGATTCCAAGTAGCCAACCCGTCAGCTACATCATTCATCTCTCTATAGATATGTTGAAGCTTGATCCTTCGAAACAAGTTCATAAGTCTTTTGCAGTTACTAATCAGCCCTGCATTAGGATGACAAGCATTCAAAATCTTACTCTGAACAAGAAGCACCGCAGTCTCAGAATCCATCTCAATAACAATATCCTCTACTTTTTTCTCAACAGCCAAGTTCATCCCAAAAAATAGCCCCCACAACTCAGCTTCAAGAACTTCTCCCTTGCCTGAGTTAACAGCAAATCCACCAATCCACTGACCCAAAAAATGGAGAAGGTCCAAAGGAGAAGGTTAGAGAGAAGGTTGCTAGCATTCCCCATACTGAAAACCGCGATCCAACCAAAAGGAGTTTTTTTTTTTTTTTTTTATAGATATTTAGTCATATGCCTATTCTTAGCACTAATAATATAGATAAACCCTACACCATTTAATTTCTATAAACAAACCCAAAAAAAAACCTAAAAAATAACAACTGGTCCTAATTAAATTTAATTTGGATTATTAAATTACTTTGATGCCATATTTAGTGTTTTGGGTTTTTTTACGAGGTTTTGGGGTTGAGTTTGTTTAAGAAATCAATGACAATTTTGTAATTTAAAAGAAGTTAAAAGCTTTTTTGTTATGTTGTAAATGAGTTTTTTGTGTGTTTCTAAAGTCTATTTCATATAGTTTTTTTTTTAATAATTTGGGCTCCTATATTTGGTATAATAGTGAATCTCCCTTTTTTTTTCGATACACCTAAAAAAAGTCTTAGTCCTATGAAGGCTTGGTCATTTCTTGTCCATTAAAAATTAGGATGAGGTCATCCTATAATCCTACTCCCAGACAGGGGCGGCCCTGGGGTGGTGCAAGTGGCGCCACCGCACAGGGCCCCCGATTTTTGAGGGCTTTCAAAATTTTGTTTTCTTTGTATTATATTATATTAATATTATAACGATAGAATATATACTCTAGCGTGCTACATATTGATAAAAAAGTGTTTGTATTTGAGTTGGCTTTCTAGCTCATGTAACTAGATACAAGGGCCTAATCTTTATATATATATATATATGTATATTTTTTTAATATTATAGGAATTCTATATATATAGTATAGCATGCTGACTACTTACACAAGATGGTGTTTGGTGGGGTTGGCTGGAGCGCATATTCATTTAACAAAAGCACTAGAGTTCGATTCTTGCTGCATTCGATCAATTTGCCTTTAATTTTATTTTTGCATTATAACTACAAACTTTACATAATTATTAATTTAAAAAAACAAAACAAAACAGAAAGCCTTTAAAAAACATGAAACATCTATAGGAGGAGCATATATATATATCCCCCAAACTATCATTCTTAAAAATAAAAAATAAAAAAGGTTTCTCCTCCAAGAAAAGTACTTTCTTCATTGAAAACAAAACAAAAGAAACTTCATGGCTTCTTCTTTCTCTTAAACTTTGATTTTCTTATAAGTAATCATCATTATTCACTAATCTCTCTTTGGTTCTTTTTTCAATTCTTTGACAATTTTTGTTATTCTTTCAATTTAAGGAATTTTAACACCAAAAAGAGAAAACCCTAATTCCTAAATTCATAAAGACCACTCAAAATCAAATAGTTAGATTCAAATCTCAATTCAAATTATGGTATCTAAATTTCAATCTATTCTATATATTACAAGACTTATTTTATTAAATTATTATCATGTTGATGATTGGTTATATGAGAATATAGTTTGTAGACATATTTATCTATTTCTTGCTGGGGTTATCTCCCATGTTATAGGGTTTTGGAATTTTTCTTTGTAATCTAAAAATGCCACGTACTAGAAAATACATTTCTGGATATACAGAACGACTTAGAAAAAGAAAAATCGAGGAATTGACTCAATCTCAAAGAGGAGCTCTAAAAAAAATTGACTTTTAGTTATAAATTTTTTTTTATGACTTTTAGTTATAAAAAAATTCTTTATGACATTAAGTTATGGCAAATTTTTATTTATAGCATTTTTGTATTAGATTATGTGAGGCCCCAATTTAAGTTTTGCACAGGGCCCTCAAAATCTCAGGGACGACCATGCTCCCAGATGATTAGGTCATCTCAAACTACTGCCTAAAGGCTTCGCGACTTCTCTTTAATCTATGCAATTCTAAGCACCATAACATCTCGTATAATTTGCTCTCAAACACTCGATTGACTTAAGCATAAGAGGAATTTTGATCAACATCACACCAAGATTCCCCATTAGCCTTCCTTTTTGTATGTTTTGGATGACGACTTGGTTGGTCACGTTAACTAAGTTTAGACAAATTGTCAAACATCAACTTCCATAAGTCATTTTGCTATTGAGAGCAAATTTAGGCATCAACAAAAACATATATGAAAAGAACGTTGACTGGTAAAGAAGAGTAGCAACTGACATGAGGAGGGTGGAGGAGATTATGAGGTATAAATACACAAACTATATATAGAGATAGGGATGAGAAGAAACAAAATTCATAAATATTGATTTTTAAGGAATAGGGAAAGGAATGAAGGGAATGGTGACGAGAGAGGAGGTGTTGAGTGTGTAAATAATTGTACAAAATAGTTGGTTGTTTAAATCGTTTAATTTACTTGTCGTTTTTACTAACAGAATTCATATGCTAATGATAGAGAGATGATATTTTTTTTGTTAAACATAGAGAGATTATATTTGAATATATTATAACATGGCAAGTGATGCATGATACAACCATCTAATAAAATAATTTGTTTACAAGTTAACATGAGATGTCACTTATTACATAAATGAAGCCTGGTACAGTTTTCTAGATAGCAATGAATTATCGTTTTTAAGGGCCCGTTTGGTATCCTACTCAAAAAAATAAACTCAAAAATAATATTTATTTTTTTAACATGAGTTTTTAAATATTGATTTTAAAATCTAAAAACTTGTTTGGTATTGAAATCCAAACTATTTTTAAGATATAAAAAAATTGAAATTAAAATTAGAAAATCAAAAACCCTATATTCCAAAATTGAGAGTAACAAAAGAAAAGGAGAGAGCGAGATGTGGAGAAAGGGAGGAGAGACGAGAGAGAGACGAGATAGAGGGCATGGAGAGAGAGAGAGGAGAGATGAGAGAGAGCATGGAGGAAGGGAGGAGAGAGAGACGAGAGACGAGAGATGGTGGAGAGAGAGATATATGTATAGTGTGGATGTAGGAGGAGAGAGAATAAAAAAAATTGTAAAACCTCACTTTTTTTAGTTTTTAAAAAAATGAGTCTTTTTTAGTTGTTTTAGGGTTGAGTTTTTGAGATAATAGTTTTTACCAAATGTGAATTATGGGTTTTGGACTCAAAAATTGAATCCAAATAGGATACTAAACGGGTCCTAAATTTATAGTGAACAGAAGGATTGAAGTCAGAATTAAACCACCTCATGTCTTGCTATATTTTATAATCACTCTACTAAACTATTGAACTTTGTTTTTTTGGATAAACTAC